GGCCTAGAGCAGAAAGACTTCCTCAAGGCCACAGGGATGGCACAGGACTGGACTGGGATCTGCCAACTCGCTAGAACTTGTTAAAGATAGGAGGGAGAGGAGGCTGCAGTAGACCTGTGGTAGAGCCTGGCCATGTGCATTTCTAACAAACGTGTGGGCATGTATGGTGGGTGTGGGTGCACATACATCCATATGTGCTGGGGATGGGGCCTTGATGTACAACCACATGGGGCCGGACCACCCAGGAGGGGGCCACAGAGGGTTGTAGGCTGGGCTTGCGGTCCACATACTGAGGGTCAGAGCTTGTCCTCCTTCAGGCCCACAAACTCACCAGCAAGAGGGCAAAGGAAGTGGTGACCCAGGGTCTTTTGATTTTTTGGAAACTGCTTACTCCATTCTGGAGCAGAATCCATGCTCTGTCCTTGCCTGGCTGAGGCACATGGGGGGCCCACTGCAGGCCACCACAGCTCCCGCCCACTGTCCTCCAGCTGGACCCACTTGGTATCTAGATTCTCAGACTGGAAAATCAGTCTTAGAATTCTTTTAGCAATAATAACAAACACAATTAGAGAATCAACAAACATTGGGAGCTTCGCGTGTCCGAGTTGGGAGGGACCTTATAAATAAATGGCTTCATCCAACGCACCAGCCATTGCACATATCTATTTCCAGCATTTCTGCCAGGGGCCGTCCTTCCACTGTTAGACACGAGGAGGATCTATCCCTCCCCGTGCACCTGCTACATGCCAGGTCCTGGGCTAGCACTGCCCTCTCATCTGGAGCTGTCCCCTGGACACCTGAGTGGTGGAGGTAATTAGGAAAGACCTTCTGTCTTGTGATAGGTTCTAGTGTTATGTGTGCTATTTCTGTGGCTAGATGGACCCAGCTTTGAATCCCACCTCCTTGATGTGTGTTCCTCGCTGATCCTCTGTTTTCTCATCTGTAAAGTAGGGATCTATCAGTTACACAACCCATGGGCTCTTGAGTGATATATGTGACATGTTGGTTATTATTAGAATAATAATCACCTCATTTTACAGATTCAGAAAATGATGCTCAGAGGCAGTCCTAGGCTTCAATGCCAGCGATCTGCTTCTTCAGGTACCCATATGGCAGGGCCACCTGAAAGATTAGCCACATGTCTCTTCCAGGGACCCATTTCGGCCCCACTGACTCCAGATTTTAGGGCGCCAGAATCTGCTTTGAGAATGCTCCCCAGGATCTCTGAGGCTGCTGGTCAGGTACTTGATGCCATTGGCCTGTGGCTTCCCAGGTCTCTACTGCACATGTATTAATGCACTGTGTCCTGTGACAGCCTGGTGACAGGATGGGACATTCTGTGCATCTCAAAGGCAGGGCCGAGAGAAAGCAACTCACTGGATGAGTGATCTGATCTTTCCCCATGTGCTCAGCTTCAAAGGGCCCAGGGTTCCCCATCTTCACCTCTGCCCACTCACACCTGGCCCCCGGCCCCCAAGGGGTTACTCATCCAGAGGCTGGGAGTGGTCAGCCCCTTGTCAGACACAAGTTCCAGGAGCCTGGACTTCCCCTCCCACTTCCGCATCCCAGGGGCCTGTAAATCATTCATCCCGGGCCCTCCACAATCCCTGCCACTTGCATGTACTGCCCCACCCCCACCCCAGGCTCTAGAGGTGGCACAGGTGTTCAGAGGAGGGAGTCAGGAGAGTGGTTGGGGGCAGTCATGAGTTCTGACAACGCTGAGACTAGAGCCAAGGACTCCTGATTATCATTTAAAAAAAAAGTCACACCTGCACTCTGTAAAAATGTAAATGCTCCCAGCCTCCCTTCTACCAGTGGCCTCCTCCTCCAGTTCCTGTTATTGGCTACCTCTGTATCCTTTCAAAAGAAGTAGGCAGGTGCACAAAAATGTATGTGTGAGGTGTGTGGGGTGTGTGTGTGTCTCCGTCTCCTTCATCTTCATACAAAAGACCCCCGGGACACACAATTCTGTGTCTTGCTTTTTCTCCTATCTTAGAAATTGCTCCCTAATGTACACTCAGAATTGCTTGATTCCCTTTTCATGCCTGCCAAACTGCTGTCCACCTTCAAGTCCCACATCTTGTCCAACAGGTTTCCTACTTGTGCGCGTGCAGTGTTTTCTGTGCAATTAGAAATGGCCACCGCTATAGGCCATTCTCTGTGGAATCCCTTCCTGGAAGGGGGACCAGTAGTCCTGGGCTGTGTGCCTGAGAAATGAAGCTGTGTTCCACCTGCCTGGCTCCCAGGACGATGCTCTAACCATCATTCGTTCCCTGGACAGCATGCGGGATTCCCTGGTGTCTGGGCCACAGGAGACGCAGACATTTGGTTCTTTGGCAAAACTGTTTGCTTAGCAATGAAGTTGAGGCTTTGGGCAGCTCAATGAGATAGGTGGCCAAATGGGCTGCTGAGCCCCAACCCCTCTCCAGCTGGGCCAGTCTCTGCTGGGAGCCTTGCTGCCAGCGCTCTGTCATCCTCTCATCCCGTTCTGCCCTCCATCTGGGGGAAGACTTGGAGTCTGCGTCTTGGATCAAGCCCACCACCAGGTGGGACAGCCTTCAGCAAGAGCTGCTTTCCAGGCCTTTCCTCCCTCCCTTCCTCCCTGTAACGCACCCCGGCTGCTTGTCAGAAAGCAAGAGGGAGAGCTGGGAAAGACCAAGGCTGTGATCATCCGTACTGAGGCCAAATGGGCAAGGGCCCTCCTTCGCCCATCTCCTTTGGGAGTGACCATGCATACCCTGGGTGTTTTACAGACCCTGGCCCCTGGCAGTCCTGTTTTGTAGGCCCCTGTGGTGCTCTGACCCCTCCTAGGATGGGAGTGTTGCCAGTGCTGGGGGCGCTCATGGCAGGCTCAGTGGTCCCCAGATACACTGGAGGGTGCTGAGCACTCTGCACCTCAGGATATGGCCTGGGTCAAGTCTGTCCATCCCAGCCTTCAAGGACCCTGACTCCACAGGTCGAACTAAAGGGCCTCAGCAGGCCACTACCTGCGAACATCCTCAACCACACTCTCTTTACCTGAAATATGGAAGGAAGCAATATTCCCAGGCCCTGCCTAGCCCAGGGAATCCGGCAATATGAGAACTGAGAGGCCTGCTAGACTGGTGGATGAGGCGTTAAGCAGAACTGATTTTTGAGCCAATGTTGAATTTTCTAGGCCAAGGAGGGGGCCCCAGCTGGAGCCATGGCCTCAGCAGCCACGCCCTTGGCCCTCTCCTGGGGCCAGGCCTGGCCCAGGGAAGGGGCTGTCCATGCTGTCAGACAGGGGCCTGAGGTCAATGGCCATGGAAGCGTCCAGTATAGTTCTGCTGCTCTGGCAGAAAACCCAGGGAAAAGCCGCCCAGGAACATCTGCTGTCTCCTGTTCTCCACAGAGCCATTTGGCTACGAGGAGCCCAATGGCTGGCCTGCCAAGCTGCGTGGGCTTGGTGAAAGAGCAGGGCGGAAGTGGTCAGTAAGGGGCACTGACGGCCAGGCAAGGCCAGCCTGTGTACAACTCAGGGAGGTAAAGGCTGGGTACTGCAGGGTCACACGATGGACAGGCAGCGGGTCTGTGGTTATTCTGAGATCCGCCATGTCCTGGTGGACACATGTGCCGGCATGTGCCTCCTATTTATAGCCATGTGTTCAGCTTCTTGTAAAGGAAACTGGTGCTTAGCCACCCCCTCCCCAGCCAGCCCAGGCAAAGCATGACTCTTAATATTCTCCCCAGACACAGCTCCAATCCAGCCCCCAAAGCCTGATGTTAACCCAGACGGTCCTCAAGTCCAACTCCTGGCCCTAGGCCGAGCCCTGTCTGGCAGCCAGGCTGGCCGCCCTGTCTCTGGGTTATTGTTGGTCTCTCTGCCCTGTCTGCCTCTCTGAGCTGCAGCCAGAGGAGGTGAAAGCCCACACAGGACCTCGAGTCACCTCTGCTCATGCCCCACAGTGGCTCCATCCCAGGCAGTAAAACACCCTCTTAGAGTCTCCTGCTTGAGGACTCCTGCACCCTAGCCTCCCTCGCCCCTGCCCCCAGCTTCCACCCTGTCATGTGGCAGAAGGCCCCCAACACCCCTAGACCCCATTTCCCCTCTCCTCTCTTAGATCTTTGCTCAGTTTGTCCTTCTCAGTAAATCCTTCATGGGCAACTCTATTTAATAAAGTGTATCATTTCAGGGAGTTTTTTGTTTATTCCATTTCATTTTGAAATAGTGTTTTGCCAAAGTTGCTAGACTGGCCTTGAACCCCTGTGCTTAAGCGACCCTCCTGTCTCAGCCGCCTAAGTAGCTTGCCTACAGGCACATGCAGTTAGCATTGTTCTGCTACAACCTTTCTCTGTTGGAAATTCCCAGTCCTCTCTCTCAGAAATACTTCCTTTATTCTGAAATACTTATCAATTAACACATGAAGTATTTTCCATCCCTGCTTTTTGTCTGTCTTCCTGCCCTAAACGCAGAGCTCACTGCCTGCCCTAGAGTGTGGCTTACAGCATGCGCTCAGTGAGTCTAGGGTGTGGCCAGAGCCACAGCACCATGCTGGACACAGACAGTGGGGAGCACCCGGCAGACCATCCGAGCCCCTCGTGCAGCCCCAGCTCGAGGCCGGGCACCAGGTCCTCCTATTTCTGCTCCCCACCCAGCACTGATGGCCTGCTGGGTTCTGACCTCTCCTTAGTCTCCATGCGCCCTTGCTTGCCTTCATCGCTCACCTGTGGACCTGTGGATCAGAACCACCTGGGGCCCTTATTAAATTATGCAGTTCCTACCCCAAACATCTGGTTGAGCCATCAGGGTGTCCCCGCGCTGTCTCACCATCTCCCCCAGAGTGTGCTGTGCCACCACAGCTGGTGATTGCTGGTTTTAGGCTGGAGCAGCTGGTGATCAGAACTGAGGGTCAGGAGAACTGGGTGAAGTCCCTGTGCCTTCAGCAGCCTCCTCTCAGGGACCCCTCCTGGTCCTTTGGTGGACATCCCTCCCCCACCCCCGCAGCCTCACCTTTCCTCCCGGCCCCTCTGTTTCTCAGGTAAGACTCGGACCAAGGACAAATACCGTGTGGTCTACACAGATCACCAGCGCTTGGAGCTGGAGAAGGAGTTCCACTATAGCCGCTATATCACCATCAGGCGGAAATCAGAGCTGGCCGCCAACCTGGGGCTCACTGAACGACAGGTGTGTGAGGTTTACAGAGGTAGCACAGAGGTTGCGTCTCCAGGCCATGGCTAACATGGCGGACCCTGAGCTGCTGCCAGCCCCCTCAATGAAATCTATGATCCTAAAAAGAGAACAAAGAAAAAAGAAATCTATGCTTCTGCATCCAACTGGCCATAGTCTATGGCCAGCCACGGTCAATGCTGTTTAGACTCAGAGAGAGGGGAACAGAGAAGGGGAGGGGAGGCTTACTAGAAGGGAGATAGGGTTGGGGAGCAAGTTCTGGTGGGGAGGACATGTTCAAGACCTAGGAGGTCTGGGTGACCATCAGGGCCACCTGAGGAAGATGAGCACAGAGGTCCCCCATCCCCCTGGCTGTCACCACCCCTCTACATCTCTGCTTGATGGTCCTGCAGGTAAAGATCTGGTTCCAGAACCGTCGAGCCAAGGAGCGCAAAGTGAACAAAAAGAAGCAACAGCAGCAACAGCAGCCACCCCCGCAGCTACCACCGGCACTGGACACCCTGGATGGCACCCCCACCTCAGCCGGGCCGCCCCTGGGGGGCCTGGGCCCCAGTACTGCTGGCCTGCTGGGTGCTTCCTCCCCAATGCCTGTCAAGGAGGAGTTTCTGCCCTAGTCCCTCCCAGTCATAGACTCAGAGGACCTGGGCACACTGGTGCTGGGGACAGAGCTTCCCATGGGGTTCATGACATAGGCCTGGTCTTAGCCCCAGCCCTGCCTTTGTCACCATGGACAAGGATGAGTCACCCACCCCTCCCTGCATCCCCTTACCCCTCTGTCTGAGGTCGTTTTGGCTAAAGACCTCTTTGGGCTCCTATGTTCTAAGCCTCAGGAGGATAAGGGAACCCAGGGTGGGAGTCTCAACCTCAGGGGAAACTGCAAGCCCCAGAGGGTTGAATCAAGGCTCAGGACAAGGCTTTAGGGCCCGAGGCTCGCTGGGTGAAGTGGGAGCTGCTGAAGGGAGCAGCTAGAGTCTGGAGAGGGGGTACTGCTGAGCGAAGATGGGCCACCTGCAGGTGTGACAGGCACCCCCCTTCCTGCAGCCTCACCTCCTCCTGCCCATTGTAGCTCACCCACCCTCCCCAGGCTGGGTGCTGATAAAAAGCCACTGGCCTGGGCCTGAGGAGAGGCTCTGGTGAGGGTTCTCTGACTTGCAGAGCCATGTCCACTTGCTAGCACTGGCAGGGAGGCCTGTGGATGGAGGGGCTGGTTACAAGGGGGAAAGGGTAGAGACCCCGAGGGTCCTACCCTGTCAGGCTGTCCCCATGTCAGGCAGAGACTGTCTCTGCACCAAGCAGAGCTCACAGCTGGACAGATGTTTAAGACAGAGAGTGAATGTCTTGGATGCAGCTTCAAGAATAAACTGTTCCCTCTTTTTTTTCCCCTCTTTTTAAAAATGTATAAAAATCATTATACATAGCATTAAAGAAAAATGTTTAAGAAGTATAAATCACCCTCTCCCTTCCCTTCCTGATCTGCAGGCCTGCAACAAGGTCGCCTTTAAAATACACTTAAAAGATCAAAACAGGACATTGTTAGAGTAAGTCTGTGAGGCTGTTTGTGAGTGGAATCATCAAAAGGTGCATCAGCCTTTGAATTTTCAGATACGTGCAGTTGATGTTTTTCTTTCCAGCATTGGTATTCATTGGGCACCTCATGTGCCAGGCACACGGGCCCTGCCACTTGGAAATTCCTAGCTGGTAAGGACCGTCATGCACACGGATGTTACTAATCTCCAAGCTGCTGGCACTAATACCCAGTCAGAGCTCTGGACACCGTGGGGACTGGCAAATCCAATGCACACAGAGAAGGCTCCTAGCTTACACTGGAAGGCCCCGATGGCTTTCTGGAGGAGGCAGTGTCTGAGCTGAGACCTCAAGGACAAGTGGGTGCTGATCAAGCCAAGAAAGGAGTATGAGCGATATGAACTGGGAGCTTGATCTTTTTTTTAACACCCAGGCAAGGCCACTGTTCTTACCTCCCTTCCAGAGAGGGTAGGAGTCTGCTACCTGGGGCCTCCTCTCCCCAGAGGGCTCCAGTGCCAACTGTCTCTGTCCCTCTGTTTATTGTTCTGGGAGGTGGCTCGGCCGTAAAAGCGTGCACAGCCTGTCTGCTGTCGCCCTTTGCTCCTGGGGCCCACAGTAACAGCACACAAAGTGGATCTAGTCCTGCCACAGCCCTGTAGACCAGCAGGCTCCTCTCTCTCCTCCTCCCAGTGGCCTGGAAGAGCCCCTGGCCTTGTCAGTAGCAGGAGACATGGGGGGATCAGGGCAAGAACAGAGAAAAAGGCTGAGAGGGAGGAACATGGCAAGCAGGGAGTAAATAGGGTGTTCTGACCTTTAAAAAGATTTTCTGTGCCCCTGGGGTAACTCCTCCACTCAAGGCTTCCATTTTTTATAAAAGTGGGGGCTCATTTTCCAAGAAGAAACAGCTCTGGTCAAGTAAATCTGAGAAACCTGCAGATTTTCTCTGCTGGGAACGTCATCAGTGGCCTGCAGCATGTCAAAGGCTCTGATGTGCCCCACGGCAAAGAACCCCTTGGGCTTTCTTTAGTTCTATGTCCCCCACTATTCTCTCTGCCCAGGAGGCTCCATGAGACCCACCAGTGTCCCCTGAACCCACACAGTCTGGTGTGTGAGAATGTCCTGGGCTAGGATGAGCCTTGCTTTCTAGGTGGAACAGAGGGCTTGTGGTTCAATTTCCTTGGTTCCAGTGCAGTGTTCCAGTGCGGAGTTGGGAGATTCCGGCAAGTTACCTTCTCTTAGCCTCTCTTAGCCTCAGGCTCCTCACTTATCAAATGAAAATAAAGGAAATGATCTTACAGTCATGTGTAGAGCAGGGCCAAGCTCTTAGGTAAGTGCTCATTTCTAGCCAGCTACTCCTGGTACTGCTGTGTCCTAACATGAGGTGCTGGCAGGCCTGTCTGATGTTCTTACAACTGCTACCACCACCACCATCTACAGGGCTGAGGATGGGTGGTGGCTGTGAAGATCGGAGGTGAGCAGTCCTGTCCCTGGCCTCAGGATACCTTTGTCTGGCAGGAAGCCAGGAGCCAAGACTGGCAGCCCGTGTGAGCTGTGGTGGTTGCCCACATGGGAGTCTAGGAGGTTCAATGTGCCGTGGCTGAGTTGGTAGTCACTTGTCAGTTGGTGTTTGAGCTCCATGAAAAAAGGAAATATGCTTAAGAAAACTTCCCATCAGTGCTCATAGGCTGCCTGGGACCCTGTTTGTTTCTTTTTCTTTCTTTCTTTTTTTTTTTTTTTTTTTTTGCATTTTAGGGAAGAGTCTACAGGGTCTCACTATAAGATCAGACTCGTGATCAGCTTGTTTACAGCCTCCCAAGAGCTGGGATTACAGGCGTGCGCCACCGTGCCCAGTCTCAATCGCCATCTCAGCATGCCCCGGGGGTGGGGCTGCATGGCAGGTTCAGGGATTGAACGTCCGGCCTCTGTGCCTGCTTGCAGGTGCTTTAATCTGCTGAGCTATTGAGCTAGCTCCCTGTTTGTTTCTTGTCACCTAAAGGACCCTGCCAGAGGCTGGGCTATGGTAAGGGCTTGGGAATCAGAGTCTCAGATATCATCAGATTCTGCAGCCGCCCCAGGGCTGAGGCACCTCTCAGCTGTCCTGTAAGGAACAGTTGGTGCTGCTTTGTTCTGTTCCCCTTCTGCTGGCAGCAGGCCTCACGGATGCGGAAGACCTGGGATCCAGAGATGGAGCTGCCTGACCTGACCCTCCAGGGCCCACAGCCTGGTCATAGCCTTGAGCAAATGAGGACACATCAGCACTAGGTTTTACATGCAACTTTGAAGCTACATTGAGAACCTGAGTGTTGGGAGCAGCCAGACTCAGTCAAGTGATAAGATTGGTGTGAGTTGCTCTGAACAGGCCACCGCTTAACTCGGGAGAGATGCAGGTTGACAGTACAGTGCTCTGGGAGGAGAGATCTTTAGCAGCAGTGTGGAGTGTGTGTGTGTGTGTGTGTGTGTGTGTGTGTGTGTGTGTGTGTGTGTGTGATGAGCTGTGATGACATGAAGAGGGGGCAGAAAGACATGGATCTCTGAGGAAACCAGCTGGCTCTGGGTAGCTGAGATGCAGAGCAGGGAAGCCTGTCAGGCCCAGCCCAGGGCAACTTGGGGGCAGTCCCACCCCACTGGGCCGCTCCGGAGCCACGTCCTCTCCACCACACCAGATGGAAAGCAGCCTGGAACCTCACTCCTCACAGTCACACCACTCTGGTGTAGCACAACACATGCTCCACAGTGATAAAATCTGAACGTTTAGGCAAATTAAAAATGTTTATTTATATGCATTTAAAAATATCTCCCTATATAATAAAAGGAAGTACATTTTCATCTAACACTTTCCTTAAATCAGCACACATCTCCACTTCACTTCTAACTTGACATGAGATCAGGAGAAATACCCAGAGAAAGGATGAGAGAAAAAGAGGAAAGGGGTTCTGAGTATCAGTAGCAGAGGGAGGCAAATAAGGAAGGAAGGTTGCCAAACTCCCAGCTACTTGAGTGATCATAAAATTGGGGCTCAGTGTTCAGGAGATTGATGTGGGCAACACTTGCAAAATTTTAGGCTTTATGTTATTTTATTTACTTTCTAAGCGATGGGAAAAGTGTAGCAGAGAGGTGTGCTCTGGGGTTAGAGCGGGGTGGAGTCACTCTCCCAGACCCCTGGTGGCTCTGCCCCTATGTCACTAAGCATGATTACATGTCCTCTCCCCTGTAGGTTTCAGTTTATCCATCTGAAATGAGTAGACGGAGGCCCTCTGCACATTACAGCCCCAGTAACTGTCACCAAAGTTCAGTGGTGACCCCATGAAGTGCTTGCTCAGCAAAGGCTGGCATCCTGGCCCAGTCCCTTCTCCTCCCCCAGGAGCAGCCAGGAAGGGTGCAGATAGAGGCCAGGCCTTGCCCTTGTATACCTTGCTCACCAGGATATTCGAAGGATGCGGTGGAATCCCTTGCCAAGAGGAGGGAGGAGGTGCTTAGGGACGCCGCTGCCTCTGCTGGGAGAGAGCAGGGCAGTCCTGAGGAGGAGCAGGTCCTGCTGGGCCTCCTGGAATTCAGTATTCCACACTGCCTGTTCCCAGGCATAGCCATGGCTTCTGGCTTTATCTCCAAGGCCTGGAATTTCAGTGTTCTGTGTGGCTTGACACAGAACTTACTCTTCTGAGACTGTTTCCTGAGGCTTAAATCTGTCTTCTTAGGCTGTTGGGTAGAGCTAAAGATTGAATATCAGATGTAAAAATTGTGTCATAGCGCCTAGTGGGGCTCTATAAATGCACCTCTTTTTCACATCCACGGCCAGTCTAGGCCCCACACAGGCAAGAAGCAGCAGGAAGAAGAGCCTCCTTCCTCCTGGGCCTGGGAAGCATACACCCCTGAACAGGCTTACAGGGCAAGGCCGCAGGATCAACTCACCAAGCCAGGCTGAGGCTTAAGCCCTGCCCACCTCCTTCTACACCCCACGGGTAAGAGCACAGCCCTTTCAGCTGCCTCTCTGCAGAGGCCTTCTCTGGTGCAGCTGTGTGTGGTTCACATCCACACGGGGTTCCTGCGCTGCGAGCATGGGGAATGCCAGTCCATGAGCATGCGCGCACACACACACACACACACACACACACACACACGCATGCAGCCCTAGCAAACCATTGCATACAAAGAACACTTCTCATCCCAGCCACAGGCTTGTGGGATTATTGGAACATTTTGAGGGATCAACCACACACAGATTGGCTAGTGGCCCACTTTACAGGTGCAAAATCATGACTTTCCTGAGTAGACTGTAGATGGAACCTGGTGCTTACAATCTAAGCCACAAACCATCATGACAACACAATAGCACTTGCTTGTGCCTTCCCCTCACCCAAACCTCCCCGTGCACTTTTATCCCAAGGAAAGGAATGTTGAGGACTACTAGCCTGGAAGGTCCCTGAGGCATGATTCCATCCTTGGTATTTTTTTTTTAAATTTGTGTGTGTGTGTGTGTGTGTGTGTGTGTGGCCAGCTCAGCCCACCAGGGGGCGGGGCTGGCTTGCATGTGGTGCTGGGGGATTGAACCGCGGTCCCTGTGCTTTGCTAAGCTTGTTCTAAGTAGGTGCTTTAGACCACTGAGCCATCTCACCAGCCCCCTCCATCCTTGGTATTGTGTGCTAGCTCTGTGACCTTGAATAAGTATCTCTCTCTGTGTTGCAGTTTCCTCATCTGTAAAATGGGAATAATAACAGCTGCCTCCCCCAATTGGGAAATTAAGACACCTCAGATGGAACCTGGCACATTTTAGGTGCTCAGGCAACAGTGATAGTCTAGACAACTGGATAATTATCAGTGGTGGAGTGGGCAGCCCACAGAAGGTCAGTAATGTTAACCCAGAACTTGCTGTGTGCTAGGGCCCAGGTGCTGTTCTCTATGCACCACCTTCTTGCATTCCTCACTCTTTCTAAAGGATTCTTCTCCCCCATTTTCCAGATGAAGAAGCGCCCTCATGGGGAACCTGAGTAAGGTCACACGGCAAAGAAGTCACAAAACACAGTTGGACTCGGAAGCCCAAGAGCCGGCTGTCAGTGTGGGTGCTGGCAGCCTGCCACCCTCCTCACCCAACTAAGAAGGAGACCCAGAAAGGACAGGTCACCTGCCCAAGGTCACCAGGAGGTGGTAGTTGAGGCCGAGAGTTTCTGTCGCGAGCCCCCCTTCCCAGTTGGGCCCCTCCAATCCGCAGCTCTGCGTGCGGGGGCGCGCGCATTCCCCGGCGCTGTCGGTCAGTCCCAATCTGTCTGAGTGTCTCCCCAGCCTCTGGAGCCGAGCAAGCAGAGGCAGGGCGTTCGCAGTGCCCAGCCTGCGCCCCACGCCCGCGGCCGCCAGACGGCAGCGCCTGCGCCCAGCAGCCCCAGCTGGTGCGCGGGAGCCACCAGGGCCAGGACGCAGCGGCGGGCGGCTAGTGCACGGTCTCTGGCCGCCGCGCTGCTGTCTGCGCTCCAGAGAAGCCCAGCCGGCAGGTGCCAGCACCGGCCCTCGAGATGAAGAAGCTTCAGGGAGCTCAGCTCCGCAAGGTAAAGCACCGGCCGGCGCACCTGAAGGGGGGCGGGAGGGGTCGAGCGAGGGCCGCAGGGCACGCGGAAGCTCAAGCTCCGAGGCCCGCAAAGCGCGGTTGGGAGGGGCGGGGTCCTGGCTCCCCATCCCTAGCCTTCTGGGGACGAGTCACTGGGCCTGGCCCTTCGAACAGGTGTCTGCTGCCCTAGGAGGCGCAGAGTAGGAGCGGCTGGGACCAGGCACCCTCCTTTCTTGGTCCCCTTCCTCATCCCCCAGGAGCTGACTGCCGGCTAGGGGGTGTTAGAAGCAGAGTCGGGGTTGGGTATCATCCTGGCGCCCCTCAGGCCACTCAGTTCTGAGGCAACCTCTGCCAGCCTCCATGGACCCACTTTGTGCCTGCCCACCCCAGCCCTGTATGCCTGCTCCCTCCCGCTTCTGCCAGCAGCTCTGCGCACCCCACTGGGACCCCAGGCTGTCCCTTTCTCTGCAGGGCTGAGGGGAGGCAAAGGCAGGCAAAGAGTGGGGTGAATGGGAGCCCCAAGGATCCTGGGTGGAGGTGGAGGTGGAGGCTGGGGTGACCGGTGAGGAGGAGGTGGGGGGAGTTTCCAGGCTGTTGGCTTAACTGCACCAGCCCTGGCCAAGGAGTTGGAGCTCCCAGGTACTATTTCTACAGCTGCCACTTGCCATGCTCTACTCATTCCCAGTTGTGAACCCACTGGGCGTGAGTGGAGTGCAGGATGCTGTGACCCAGAAGGGGCTCAGGGGCTGCTGTCGTCACCCCCACAGCCACCCCTCCCCCATGCAAGCATACACTCATTCTGGCTCTGTCCTTGGACAGCCAGGCCTGGCATCCAGTGAGAAGGGGGTCTTTTCTATTGGCTGGCTTGATATTGTGGGACCATGTGTGGATCCCTTGGGTCTGCTGGGGTCTGCCTCTATTTTTTTTTCCTACTCTTCTTTCTTCTCTTTGTTCTCCCCACTTGACAAGAACCCTTGCCCCTCTGCCATAGGGCTGCAAATTACATAAACAGCCATGTATTGTGAGTAACTGGGAGCTTAGGCAGCATTGTTTCATTCAGTCCTCCAAAAATTCTGTAGACTGAATCTTGTTCCTGTTTCATCAATGAGGCAACTAAGGCAGAAGGAAGAGGCTCACTGCATCACTGGAGGTGCGATGAGCAACCTAGAACTGCCAGGGCAACGTCCTCTTTGGTCTGTAAGAGAAGGGGAGAAAAGGCCAGGGATCAGGAAGGAAGCAGCGTGGCTGGACTGGGAGTCAGAAATCTCAGTCCTAGCTTTATTCTCCCCTGAATTTGTTACTTGACCTTGGGCTCATCCTTTCCATTCCCTGAAACTTGGCTTCTTCTACACAATAGTGAAGTTGGAATCCAGGTTCTGTTGTCTCTCTTTCCTGCAGAAGGTACTAAGAGCATGGGTTTGGGCAGTCCTGGTTCTCTAGGCCCTGTGATGGGAGAGGCTGCAGGTCTTGCAAACTTGGCTGTGCACTCCTGCATGATCCTGGAATGGGGATGGGATGCTCAGGAGCCAGAGCGCCACCTAGGTGGAAGTGTGAAGGGGCTGTGTAGTTTCCAACCCTGCCTCATTTATCTGGTTGCTGTCCTGTCTCCTAAACAATCCCATCCTTGCTGTGCCAGCATCCTAGAATTCACCCCATGGCAGTACTGGGGGTTCCAGGTGGGCTCCTGATTGGTTTAGCTTTAGAGGACCCCATCCCTAGCCCTGGAACAGGAGCAAGCTTCCCTCTGATTGGGGGAGGAGGAGGAGGAGCTGGCAGCATCCTGCTCTTGGAACTCTTGTCACCATAGAAACAGCGGAGGACCGCTCTGTGAGTGTGGAAAGGGCAGCTTCTCTGGAGAAATCAGAGGAGCATCATTACCAGGACCTCCTGCCAGATGGCCTGGATGGGGCAGGAAGGTCCCAGGTGACAGGCATGCTTTACTACCCAATGCCAAGGGCCAGTATCAATGGCTGTTGCTGCATCCTTCGTGGAGCTCACATGGGAGGTGGTTCCAGAAGACTTCTGCTCACTCAGCAAGAAAAGCATCCGGAGGGGAAGGGAGGGCTCAGGTAAGTCTGGGAGGGGCTGCCACCCTCACCTCAGCATATCCAAAAGTGCTGCTAAGGAACTGTCCAGGTAGCACTTGTGGATTTCAACCCTTGGAGCCTAGTGACTTTAATGGCAGCTCTTTCATGCTCTGTCACAGTTACCATTACCTATAATCTTGCCACGTTTTTCTTGTCACCCTTTCCAGGCAATATCACCATGATGGTCACCACTATCACTGAGAACTAACCTTGTTCTGCTGTCCCAGGGCTACCATCTGATCCACTGCCCACCCTAGTCACCACAGCCAGACACCTCCAGTCCTGTGACACTCAGACTTGCTCTACTCTCTTGCCAGTACCCCCAGCACTGAAGATGGAATTCATAGCCTGGCCCATACCAACAGGCACTTACCAATGAGCTACACCCTAGCTCTCTCTTAATCATTTTGTTCCAGCAGTGCTTATACAACCAGTGCCCAGCAAAGCCTCTGTCACCACCTGACTTGTTGGCAGTGTTATGAGAAGAAAGTCATCCAGCCAGCAGCTAGGGCTGAGTGAGTCCCCAGGTCAGGCTCTGATCTGACCCTTAGGTGTTGAAACCATCCCCAGAAAAGGCTGTGGTGAGCTTGCCTCACGGACCACCAAAGCCAGAAGGCTCACTGACCTTCATTTTCCCAAGTACAGCACTTCCCAGCATGCTGACTCTCTTTGAGGTCCTTGTTAAGCAGATTTGGAGAATACTGTCTAGTCCCCATTAGGAGTCATGTGTGTTAAAAGATAGGACAAATCCTATAGTAAAGAAACACTTCATTTTATGTTAACTTAGTTTCTCTCAAACATCTTTGACTCAAGAACCCTCATTTCTATGTAATACCTATGGATACGTCATGTATCTTGAGAAATGCTGATCCATAAGCCCTCTTTTGTCCCAATGAGGAAACTGAGGGTCAGAAGACTTCTAAATTCATGCAGTACATTAGTATAGACCTTGGAGTAAACTGCAGCCTCCTGACCCCCCCCATTCCATTCCAATGTTATCCCAGGTTTCCTGCAAGCATTTCCCAGAAGGAAGCAGGGGTCCTTTCTCCTCTCCAAAGACCCTGAACAATTTCTTACTAACCAGACTTCTTTGTATTTCCATTTTCTCTGCCCTACGGTATGACTTCCCGCACAAGCAGGCACGGTGTGGCTCCCTTTCTCCTGACTCCTTCCTGGGTCAATTGTGGGGAGCTGCTCTGAATTGCAGATGGTCATCGTTGTTCCTGTGGGCCACCTTCCAGGCAGTGGGCAATCATGGTCAGGCCACCTTGCATTTCTCAGGGGAGGATGCCAAGCGGCCAGAGCAGGACCTCCATCTCCCAAGTGCAGCCAGAAGCAAGAATGCCCACTGGACTTCTCTGCCCACGTTGCATCCTGGAAGTACATGCTAGAGACATCTGACCTCCATCCCCCTCTGCACTTCTCTCCACCAGTGACAGCAAGATTATAACTTTCTGAGACAGATTAGGGCTTAATAGCTTGTATGTACTCATGACCCAAAAATCCAGTCTTTGGTAGGCTCCTTGAGCCACACAGCACAGTTCTTATTCATCCCTCAGGGAGCCCATGACCTACCAAAATCATCCACTTCTTGTGACTTTAAGGGTTTCTGGTGCTTCCCTTTGTCCCCTCACAACCACTTTTCCAGAACATTCTTTCATCTGGCCACCTGCCCTTTGGACATACTTCTCACTGTCTCTGTGTCTTTCTTAAAATCCGATGTCTAAGATGGAAATGAAACTCATCTACACAATGGCGGAGACATGGCCATTCCTGTCAGAAAATCTGGGCTCAAGACCCAGTTCTCTCACTCACCAACTGGTCAAAATCTTGGTTGGTCATGACCCCTCTCTGAGCCTCAGTTTTCCTCATACTTAGAAGTGAGCTTAGATGAGTACTTCCCATGTGTGGTTGGTCTAAGGATGGATTCGGGAGATGTGAATAAAATGCTTAGTGCAAGTGCTCAGTACATAGTGGTTAGTAAGATCAGCAGCAGCAGCATAGGGCCATCCCTTGACCCTGGTCTCTGCTAGCCAGACAGAGATCAGGCGGCTTTCTCAGCACGTAGGCTACCTGCTGCTGCTGCCTAAGGATCTTCTGCACATTACCACACAAATCCAGATGACAGCACCTGATTATCTAAAACAAGAGAACATCTTTCTGTTCAGCCTTGTTCAGGCCTGTATTTCTGCCATGGTGGGGTCACAGCTCCAGCCTGACCTCACCCTCCTTCCTCTCCACTTTGGTCTTTCTTACTGACAGCCTGTCACCCCAGACCTGCTGATGACCCCCAGTGACCAGGGCGATGTGGACCTAGACGTGGACTTTGCTACAGACCGGGGCAACTGGACAGGCAAGCTGGACTTCCTGCTGTCCTGCATCGGCTACTGTGTGGGCCTGGGCAATGTCTGGCGCTTCCCCTATCGAGCCTACACCAATGGAGGAGGTACAGCCTTGGTCCAGTAAAGGGCGTCTGAGGGCGGACCAAAGCTTGGGGCAGACTGAGCTTTTCTGTCTCCTGAGCCTCTGTCTCTGGGGTGACCTTGGCTGAGAGGAGGGAGCTTACTGTGCCCATTCCTGCTCATCAGCTAGGCTGATGGTTCTTCCTTCTCCTCCCCAGGGTGGACACCCACAGGCTTTTTCTTCTGAGGCTCACAGTCTCTGGACCCCATGCTTTGTGATAAAGGCATTATCTGTCTATCACGGATCGACGCTTTTAATATTCTCTCCACACCTCCCCTTTCCTCAGAGCCCTGCTCCAGCAATCATTTCATCTCTGAATCGTCAATATTTCCTCCTTTTCTGGTTTCTCCCATTCAGACTGCAAATGCAACATCTCTATCTTGAAAAGAAAGAAAGAAAGAAAGAAAGAAAGAAAGAAAGAAAGAAAGAAAGAAAGAAAGAAAGAAAGAAAGAGAGAAAAGAAAATCCCTTTGTCCCTGCTTCTCCATCCAGTCACATTGTGAATTTCATCATGGTAGCTAGGGCAGAGCGCTTACTGCCCACCAGGCCTGTGCTGAGTGTCCATCTCTTTTAGCCCCCACAGCCCTCCTGGGTGGGCACCGGGAGGTGATGAGGAAGGGGAACTTGAGGAGGGCCAAGCTCCTTGTCCAAGGTCACACAGCCCCAAGGTCCCAACATTCTAATCCTGATCCAGCCACTATAGCAGAGTCCTAGAATCCTAGCTACTAAAGAGGCTGAGGCAGAGAATTGCAAGTTCAAGGTCAGCCTGGATGAGTTAGTGATACCCTGTGTTAACACAAAATAAAAGTAAAGGGCTATAGACATAGGTCTCAGTGGGAGAGTGCTTGCCTACCTTGTGTGAGGTCCCAGTTCATTTTCCAACACCAAAAAAACAAAAACAAAAACAAAAAAAACCTCCAAATGGGACAGTCTTCCCCAGGCCCAAGGTGGGCTTGTTGGGATTTCATGCCGGCTGCCTCCACCAGACTTGCTAAATGAGTGCATACTGGTAAAGTAAGAGACATCCAAAGAAAGCAGATGAAACATAGCAAAGATGCATTCACATGACCAGGAATGTGGGCCTGGGACCAGTCACTGAGACACAGGGGCGCACCCTGTCCACAGCTGTCTTGCTGCCTGCCCTCTCACTGTGTCACTACTCTGCTTTGTCTGTTGACCTCATTATGTCCTGAAGCAGGTTCTGTTCCTCCCTGCAGTTGGGGACAGGGAGGGTGACCACAGACACCTGGAGTGGTGCAGGTCCTCCTCAGGCTTAGCAGTGTGGAGCTTTCCATCTGAATGAGTCCGGACAGCATGGCAGGAAGGTTTCTGAATGGCTCGCCTTGGGATATGCACCCACTGAGGGGCCGAGGGAAGGCAGACGGGACTGTACCCTTCCAGGGCCATATGAAGAAGGTGGGTGTCAGCAACACAAAGCAAAGGGGAAGGGATGTTGGCCCCAGGAAACCACAGGTGGCAGATTTGCAGATCTGAGGCAGCGTGACCAAGACAAGAGACCTGTGGAGCCAGGTTCTGAAGGATGTCAGCTCCTGTCCTGAGGAGTTTGCACTTGTTTTAGTAAGGAATTCCCTCATTCCTTCCCTCATTCCATACTTCACTTATTCACTCGCTTGCTCCACAGGCGATTTTCTAGGGTCTGCAGTGGGTCAGCCCTATTTTGGACATGGGTCTACAAAGGTGAATAAAGCCCTGCCAGCCTCCCTACCCCTCAGAGGCATGAAGAAAGAGAGAGGGCAGCCCCACAGGCTCAAGGCCCCAGCCCACAGGCTCAGGTGTCTGACTCTGGGCAGGGCGGGGTCGAGCCAAGCTTTGGGGGTTGCTGCCCCTCCAAGCCCCTCCCACCTTCCCCGTTCCTCCCAGGTGCCTTCCTTGTGCCCTACTTCCTCATGCTGGCCATCTGTGGCATTCCCCTCTTTTTCCTGGAGCTCTCCCTGGGCCAGTTTTCCAGCTTGGGACCCCTGGCCGTCTGGAAAATCAGCCCCCTCTTCAAAGGTGAGGTCTCAGTGGTCCCTGGGCTGGGCTTGGTTTGAGGGAGGCAGGGAGGTGCCCACCCCCTGCCAACCTCCAGGCAGAGAGGGAAGTAGAGGCAGGAGGTGACAGCATCCTGAGGCCTCTGAGCTGGGGTGATGGCGAGCTCAGGGGCCGCCCAGCAGCCCTCTCACCACACCAGGTGCCGGCGCCGCCATGCTGCTCATCGTAGGCCTGGTGGCCATCTACTACAACATGATCATCGCCTACGTCCTGTTCTACCTCTTCGCCTCCCTCACCAGCACCCTGCCCTGGGAGCACTGCGGCAACTGGTGGAACACGGAGCTCTGCCTCGAGCACAGAGGTGCCAAGCACAGCAACAGTGCACTGCCCCTCAACCTCTCCAGCACCGTGAGCCCCAGCGAGGAGTACTGGAGGTCAGGTGCCTGCGCCGCCCACCGGGGCTGGGCTGAGAGGGCGCTCTGCGGAGCAGCTGGCAGGGGAGCGTTGTGTGGGGCTCTCACTCGCCCAGCTCTGTGACCTTGAGCAATTTATTTGGGTTGCGTTTCTTTCTCTTTAGAATGAGGACAATAATAATAACTATTTCAGAAGGTGGCCAAGAAGATTAACAAAAAGAACGCATAGAAAAATCCTGCAGTCCAGTCTGGAGGACAGTAAATGCTAGCTGATAATCCTAACACAGAGGTGATGGTAATAGCAGTAGTGAGATTTTGGAGTTTCTGTTTCCTCTGTAACAGTGGAGGTAATGGTAGTACCTGCTTCATGAGATATTATCCACTCAGGCATTTGCTTATTCATTGTTTTAATAAATATGCATGATGTGTACAAGCACCACCTGCTGCATCATAGGTAAATGTGTAGCACAGGGCCAGGGCCATACACAGTAAGGACCACCTCAGATGAATATAGTAGGAGAAATGAGACGAATGGAGTTGCTTTGTTGTGAGGCTTAAAAGGATTCATGTAAAATGGTTATAGGGGCAGCCTGAGTGTGGTAGCCGTCAGCCGGGTATTGCTGCTCATGGCTTGTCCCAATGCTCCATTCCACAGCTGGGAAAACAAGGGCCCAGCTCAGCCATGAATAGTAGAGGCGGTATTGCTACGTAAGACTCCTGATTCCTATCCTGTTCTGGGGCAACCCTCACCCCTTCCACAGCAAGAGGCTGCTCTTAGGAATGCCCTCAGACAAACCCATGTCTGGAGCTGTTCCTCTCATCTACATGGACTTCATGGTCCATCATCTGTCTCCGTCACAGCCATCCACAGTGCCTGTGCTGGCTGGAGTAGGTCTGAGTGTGGGAGGGGATGGGCCTGGGTCTGCAGCTCAAAGCCCACACTCGATGTGCTCACTGATGGCTGCCTGAACTCTCTGTGGCAATGCCGTGAGCCACTGCATCAGTTGGAATGCCGGCAGGAGGCAGGTGGTACAGTCAACAGGGTCTGATGGAAGGAGTGACACGAAGGAGCTTTCAGCAGGTCAGGAGACCCACAAGAAAAGATGCAGTGCCAGTGACTAGCACTAGGGAGGGTTATCACCCACCCTGAACTACACTAGTGAGAGGGAACCAGGGCAATTGGAGCTTACAGGAAGGTCTGCCCCACCAGAACTGTGGCTCAGAGGAAGGCCACAGTCAGGGTGGACATGAGGCCGTGTGCTCATGCGTATATCCACACGAGCCCAGAACCCTCTCCCTGTCCCCTTCATGTGTCCTGCTGGCAGTGGACGCAGAAGAGGAAGGGAGGAATGGTGTAGTGTCCTTGGAACGCAGCTGGTGGGGGACGGATGGCAAGGGATGGGGAAGCTGTCTCATGGAGAGCATCGTAGGGCCTCACTGCTCCACACAGCTGTTCTCCATGCCTGTGCCTGGTGACCACAGGACCCTCCTCTCTTACAGCCGCTATGTCCTCCACATCCAAGGCAGCCAAGGCATCGGCAGCCCTGGGGAAATCCGCTGGAACCTCTGCCTCTGCCTGCTGTTGGCCTGGGTCATCGTGTTCCTCTGTATCCTCAAGGGTGTCAAGTCCTCCGGCAAGGTGAACCTGGGAGGCCCCAAGGCCTGAGAGGGTGGGGAGGGCTTCCTGGAGGGCATGAGTGAGCCCTGGGGCTGAGATACTCAGAAGCCACCAGAGGAGGAAAGAAGAGGGCATTGAGATGGGGCCCAGCAGGAGGAAAACTGAGAAGGTGGCCAGACGGTGGGCTGGGCTGCTTTCCTGGCCTGGAGTCCTCCCCTGGTGGTGGCCACAAGTTGCTTTCAAGTTGGTCTCCTACACAGTGCTGGTTCCCTAAAGGGGCTCAGTGACAGTCTGTTGAATGGAGGCTGGGCCTGAGAAGCCTGTACGCCGAATACAGCTGTTAGCTCAGTTAGGAAATCCCAAGACCGGCTGCGGTGAGCTGGGCCCAGGGCTACTGGGCAGCATGAAGAACCTGTTGTCTGGCCTCTCTGGAGAGCAAGGCTCCCCTCTGTGTTGGCTTCCTTCTTCAGGAGGTTGTCCCCAGAGCTCCAGACTTAGACTTGACCTGACTGGGGGAAAGCTTCTCATTTCCGTTTGCATAATCGCAAGAACTTGGTCTTCTGGGTGAGCAGGGTGGTGCGTTCATCCCTGAACCAATCTCAGTGGGCAGGGGGGTGGAACACTGCTGGAGCTGGGGTCAGCCCCTTCCAGGAAAGATGGTGTGCTGTGTCTGAAGAAGGTGAACTAGATGCTGGGGAGGCAAAGCTGCAGATATCCACCGTAGGCAATGAAGGCGTAGCAAAGGCAGCAAACCTGTTACAGATGGATTTGAATGGTTCTCTCAGGTATTGTAAATTAGAACTTGTCCCCTGCTGAGTGCTGACAAGTGCTGCCTACGAGGAACAAGGCAATTATAAGAAGACCAAACATGTAGAAAGCTTTCAGGAAGAGGGGAGGGGCGGTCATGGTCCCAGCTGAGGCACCAGGGTGTTGAGGTGTGACAGGAAGAAGTGTGTGAGGACATAGCAGATATAGAGCGAGAGCAGAGGGAAGACTGGGAGCATCGAAGGCTTGGTGACCATGCAGAGTGAGCTTGCCTGGCCAGGGTGCGGGCAGATAGTTGACTAGATTGTATAAAAGAATGTTTTTGTGTGGCACTGGGGATTGAAGCCAGGGCTTTGTACATGCTGAGCATGAGCCCTACCTCTGAGCTATGTCACCAATCCAGGAGGATTCTTACCACTACGGTGGTGGCCTACACCAGAAGATGGACTTGGGGTGGCCTTGGCAAGTGGGTGACAGCCCCCTGCTGGTGGGTTGGATGGGTGGAGGTAGGAGGCAGAGAAGGACACACAGCATGGATGATGGCCAGTTCCTGCCCCAGTCACTGAAGGGGAGGTGAGCGTCCAAACGAGGACGTCAGGAAGAGGGAGGTATAGAAGGGAGTCCCAGCTTCTGGCTCCTGCTTCTCTCTCAGGTGGTGTATTTCACAGCCACATTCCCCTACATCATCCTGCTCATGCTGCTGGTCCGTGGAGTGACCCTCCCAGGGGCCTGGAAGGGCATCCAGTTCTACCTAACGCCCCAGTTCCACCACCTGTTGTCTTCCAAGGTAAGGTCCTCAGGCTGGGGTGCAAAGAGGAGCATCAGGCCAGAGCCAAGGAGTGGAAAAGGGTTCCATGGGGAAAGGGGGGTGAGGGCAGGGATCATCCACTTGGAGAGCCCCAGAAGCTAGCAGTGTACCCGGCCCTTTGTGTGCGTGCGTGCATGCGTGCATGTGTGTGTGTGTGTGTGTGTTTTAGGTTTATCATTCTTAAAAGTCCTATGAAATAGACACTGTTGTGTGCACTTTGCAGATGAAAAAAATGTTAGTTCATGAGAATGAATGATAAGGGCTGGTGAGATAGCTCAGCAGACTAAGTGCTTGCTTAGGCAAGTGCAGGGACTGGGGTTCGATCCTCGGTACCACTTACCACCCATGGGCCCACTGAACTGGTGATAGAGTCTGGGCATGGTGGCACATGCCTGTAATCCCAGCTCTGGGAAGGCTGAAAACAGGAGGATCACTGCGAGTCTGAGCTGCATAGTGAGATCCTGTACCAATACATCTTGTGTTTAATACGTTTAACAAAGAATGAATGACAAGCTTAAGGCACACAGTCAGAGAGCACCTTGTTGGGGTTCCCATCCAGTTCTGTTGGACTCCATACCCCAGGAAGACATTAATACTAATGCTCATAGCATAGGACTGACAGCTAACATTTACTATTTATGGGCCCGTGGCTGGGCCTGAGCCTGCTGTAACACTGTGCTAAGTAATAGTGATTTAATTCTTACTGCCCCCCTTATGAAGCAGGCATCATTCCTGTTCCCCCATTACCAGCAAGGAACCTGCAGTCCAGAGCAGTGATGTGTAACTACAAAGCTGTGGGACTGGGATCCCTGTCCAGGTCTCTCTGTCCCTAGGCAGGAAAATAAAGGTTTGCAGGAGCTCACTATCAAATGAATCTGCTGGGAGCTTGAATGTTAGGCACTACTTTCTTATGGCCTGCACCAAGCTTAGAGATCAGTTGCTAGACTAGGGAGGAAAACTGACTCCAGGGAGGGGAGGGGCTGGTGCATGTCCTGTGGTGTAGGTGCTAGAGCTGGGCTCATGAGCCTGGCCTCCCCACACTGTGCCTGGACTGTGTGCCCCGGCCTTGCCCTGGCCCTGGCTTCTCCTGCCTGCCCTCTGCACGCCCTGTGTGCCAGCCCCTCCTCTCTGCCCTCCTTCCCTGGCACAGGTATGGATCGAAGCTGCTCTTCAAATCTTCTACTCCCTGGGTGTGGGCTTCGGGGGTCTTCTCACCTTTGCCTCCTACAACACATTTCACCAGAACATCTATAGGTCAGTGCCTGCAGTTTCTGAGCCCCCAGGGCTGAAGCAAGGAGAGTGGCTGGCCAGGGAGGGCCTTTTGGGGGAGGGCATGGCCTTCTCACCCTGGCCTGTGCCCGGACTTCTCCTGGCAGAGACACCTTCATCGTCACTCTGGGCAATGCCATCACCAGCATCCTGGCTGGCTTTGCCATCTTCTCTGTGCTGGGCTACATGTCGCAGGAGCTGGGCGTGCCTGTGGACCAAGTAGCGAAAGCAGGTGGGCAGGTTGCCAGGGTCTGGTGTGAGGGTACGTTGGCCAGAGCTGGGAGCATGTGTGCAGACCAGGGAGATTGTCAGTGGGTATGGGGCATGTTGTGTGTCTTGCAAGAGCTTTCCAATTCCTGTGCGTGCAAGTGAACATGTCATAGCCGGTTCCTGGGTGTCCGCATATGAACGGACAGGTGTGCAAGGCAGTGCTGCATGCATTACTTTGTGTCTGCAGGTGAGTCCGTGGAGACAGTCTTATCTCTTGTGCCTGTGGTAGGCCACATGTGTGCAAGTGAGAGTGAGTCAGGGTGAGAACAGTCTTGTGAATCAGTGTGACTTGGGCCAGTGGATGTCAATAAGTAAGTTTTAGTGGAATTCTTTGTACCATCAGTTATGTACACATAAGTGATCTAATAAGTTTTTATATTTGGAGAGTATGTTTATTCATGCAATCATTATTAAGTCAGTTATGTATTAATTTATATTTATTGCACACCTGGGCTGACCCATACCCTCGAGGTTAGGACTGCCTTAGAAGCGTACATTTGGTGCATGTCCCTGCGTGTGTGTGTGTGTGTGTGTGTGTGTGTGTGTGTGTGTAGGGCGGGGGTCTGTGGGGTCGCTGCATGCCCCAAGCTGCTGACCTCGTGTGCTCTTGGCCCAGGCCCCGGCCTGGCCTTTGTAGTCTACCCGCAGGCCATGACCATGCTGCCTCTATCGCCCTTCTGGTCTTTCCTCTTCTTCTTCATGCTTCTGACGCTTGGCTTGGATAGCCAGGTGAGCCTCATCCACAGTATGGGACCTCGTGG